ACACATCTCAGGAGCATCTGTACCTGAGACCGGTCTGTTTAAATGAGCTTTTCTTTGGAAAAGATACAAAAGATCTACCACTAGATTATAACGTTAGCGGAGTAACAGAAAGAAAGAAGAAACATTCACAGTAAAACATATTAACTTCAATTCAAATAAGCTTTACTGGTATTACAGTCAAAGCAAAAACAACAAGCATCAGAATGAAATCTGCAGAGAGATTACCTGCAAGACTGGAAAGCAGATGGTAATGTTATACTGATAAAACAAAGGGGGTCATTTACAATAAACTGTAAAGTAACCGCCTCAAAAGTATAAAAAGACACAAAACTTGCTTTGGAATCTCTATGTAAGCAACCAAAGTAAACCTGATTTAGGTTGTCTCCAGCTCCCTGCTCTAAAGGTTAAAAAATATGAATAGCTTATTTGTTCATCAATTTTTGATGCAAGCCTCAAGTGGACTGTGTGTCATATCTGAATGCACTAAAAACACAAAAACAAGAAACACCAAAGACAAAACATCTTTAAAGAAATAAACCCTTGCTAGAAGTAGCACAAGTTATTATAATGTCTGCCACTGCATTTTACTTCAATAAGGCACATGGGACACTGACTTTGCTGGTTGCAGTGATAATGCTTTCAATGAAGGCTCAAAGAATGTAGTTGCAAACTGTTTTTGTCTGAAAACTTGTAAAATTAAGTATTTAAAAAGTTAACAAGGCTTCATTGGACTAACATTACCTGACTTCTAAGGACATAGGTCATGACTTCTGATAAAAACAAGTAAATGCAACTAACCAGCACCCAATCAGCATGCTGCATTAACTGAATCCCATTCAATTAAGCAAATATTGATATTCTATAACCAAATGTCTGAAGGTAGCTACTGGCAACAAGCCCACTGTTTCAACTATAGATGGAAATTTGGCTTTTGAGATCCTAGTGACAGAAAATACTCTGTTATTCTGTTAAGGTTTAACACTTGAGCAGTACTCCGTCAGAATGGATTTGCTGTGTTTGCTATCTTTAAAAAATAAACCTAAAGAATAACAAAAGTTAAAGCTCTCTAACTGCATCAGCCTCCTGTACTTCCTGATCGTGCGAAGTGGCGTTGCCGAAGTCTGTCCCCCCGAAAGCCTTACAGACTCAGGTTATAGCACGAAGTAGCAGGTAAGAAGCCGGAAATCACATTTATCGATGGATACACAGACCACCATAACACCGGTCCACTGTAGACCCGGGTAGCCCCATATCTGAAGGACACTGGGGGTAAGAGGCTCTTACCTTGGACAGCTCCAGGAGTTTGTGCAGCTCTCTGGAGTCTCGACCAGCGTCACAACAGCGACTAAATACCCCAGAAAGCGGTTTAGACGGTGACAGTGTCCCCAAAAAGCAGCTGTCATCTCACTCGGTTGCACTCACTCCGGGGGCTTCCATATTTTCATCCCACACTTTTCCGCATCTTCCTTGTTTTAATTACCGGATCCTCAGTGGTGCATGCACGAGGACACAACAGCCACGGCGCATGCGCGAAACAGGTTGGTCTGTGGTGGGTTGAGGTAAATGTTGCCTTCATGTAATGTGGGAAAAAAGGGAAAAACTAATAAATGGCTTGGTAAATTTGACATAAAATTGAAAAAACATTAGCATTTCTCTACCATAAACTTAATAGAGGTCCCTTATGAGGTTCTGTATCTGTTACAAATTGAAATAAGTAATTTGTATGTCCCATTAAGTAACTGTTTTCCTAAAAGTTGTTTTTGTGCCAATACAAAACTACATCACATTATATTCTTTAACATATATCAGTTGTGCCTTAGAGTAGTAGGGTAGATGGCTTTCATATTTTACATAAAACCATAAGTGTGATTGTATATTCAAATGACAGGGAATTATTGTGGTTTCCTCACCTATCAAATGCACAACTTTACTTTTATCGTGTTCTTCGGAGACAACAAAGGAAAATGTCTTCCAACCTATTTTCAATTTTCTCTTGACGTATTAGACTTTCTATATCATTTGTTTCTTGCAGACATTATACCACCTCAAGATGCCTCAAACATCTTTGTGACTCATAGGCTAGATGTCACCTCAGCTTGGGCTGTGGAGGCAACATTACCCCTATCCACAGTGTGTCTACTCTAGCAGTATGCAGTAACAAGAGTCCCATTCAGACAGACACTGACTTAATGTGCATGTGGTGTCCATTTACCAGACTAGCAGTCATGAAGCAGTGGGAAGAAACCTTGACAGGCAGCTAGTGTGTCAAAGCTGAGATGTTACAGCTCACACTACCACAGGCTCTGTAATGACAGCTTCTTTCATCAAAATAACACTCTAAGAAATGCTGACATCTAGAAATTTTAATAAGCTTGAAAACACATGGTCTTTTTTGACACCAATGAAGCTGATAAATGTTTAAAAATGTGCAAATCTGTACACAGGCCATCTTGTCCAACAACCTTGATTCAGCCATAAGCTGTTAATTAGACTAATAACATTATGTTTAATCAAAAGTGACTGATACTGTTGGATTGAAATTAATTATTTACTATTCTATCAAATCTTTTTGTCAAGGCTAATGTGTGCAAACGTATGCAACAGTTTTCTCCAAATAAAGACTTTAGAAATGATGTGTGACAACTTTGTGGTGCATGCATGGTTACCTTGGTTTACATGCATTTTACGCTCACTCTGAATTTTTATAACTGCTCCCTTTTTAAGTTCGAAGAATAATATAACAATTACATTTTCAGTTAGTGTCTGTAATTCTGCTCCACATAGAGCACAGCTCACTACTGCCCACAGTGGAGGCAAAGAACAGTCCACCCACTTGACATTTTTATTGCTGTAAGGTAACTGTCACTTTTAAATGACGATGAAATGCCAAAAAGCTGCTCTATGGCCTTTACTTTAAAAGGTTAAGAAGCCTTAAAAAACTACATTTACTTAGAAAAAAATACTTGAGGACTTAGGGCATGAGACATAAATAGGCTAGTATAACAATAAAAAGTAAAAGTCCATTTGCAGACCTGTAGCAGTAGGGCTGAAATCTATGTAAATCAAAAACAATGCATGTAGAAGTCTGGTTCTGTGACACCTTGACAGGCTTATAAAAGATTGCTTTTATACACATTCAACATGTCTCAAACACTATAAAACATGAAGCTGAACTTGTTTTAAATCAGTATAAGATCTGTGTCAGTATTTTTGCTCACTGCTGATGCTGGAAGCTTGACTGTGAATTGTTTTAAGAATCAGCAGGACTGAAAAATATCTACATCTGAATGCAGCAAAATGCAGTCAGGTCCTTTTTAGAGTCTGTAGCAGAAAATAAAGACACATTTAACAATGACATAAATTGATTGAATACACATTATTTAACCCTTAAACTGGACCCCAATGGCAGTGTCAGCTGTGTCAGTGCACAGGATTAGCTAGTCCTGGTGTCCACTTCACATAACAGCCTCTGCCGTCTGTGTATGAATGTTGGTGAATGAGTGAATGTCACTTGTAATCTAAAAGGGCTTCAAGTGGTCAGAAGACTAGAAAAGAGATATATAAATGTAGTCTATTCCATTTACCATCTAAATGATAATGTTTAGTCTGGATATATTTACTTCAAGAGGGTAAGACGAGACCCTGATGAGAGGGGTTTTATTTGAAAATTTCCACTGGCTAACTACATTGTCCTTCTCATTATCCAGCTACATACATGCTGACCCTAAGTATTGATCTAAAAATGATTAATTTATGGATTTATAAATATTACTTTGTGCAGATCGAAGACATAATCTCTCAGTTTCAATGGCCAGTCATGTCAACCTTCAGGGACCATTTTCCCTCACAGTTTCATCTCACTTTGGGTTTGTCCATTAACATTTGAAAAAAAAAATAGCATGTATAATGTCCTCTACCAGTAACTAATCTGTTGGAATATTCTTCTCATTCAAGCTGCTCAAGCCCACATTCTTGTTGCAGTTTGGTGTTGCTTCATTTTCTTTCATTTGTCCCTTGTTTTCTTAGACTCAGCTCCTTGTGTGTTTTAATATCACTTGATTATTTCCTAATTATTATTTTAGTGCTTTTCTCCCTTTTGTCTTAATTTTATGCTGGTCACTGGATGACCATTAAGCTAGTTCTGTGCTTACCAAATAAACGGAGCGTAGTATTAAAAATATTCAAGTCCTATTGCAGACCTGTAGCACAGTAGGGCTGAAATCTATGTAAATCAAAAACAATGCATGTAGAAATCTGGTTCCTTGACACCATGACAGGCTTCAAGATTGCTTTTGTACAGATTCAACATGTCTCAAACACTATAAAACATGAAGCTGAACTTGTTTTAAATCCCCCCTGTATCAGTATTTTTGCTTGTACAGCTCACTGCTGATGCTGGAAGCTTCACTGTGAATTGTTTTTTCTATTACCTAAAATTCCATTGAGGTGTAGAAGGAAGGCGAACAAACAGAAGACAACACGATGTTTTCAAGTACATTCACATGGCTGTGGACAGACCAAAGAGTTTTGCATGGTTGGGAGTGGGGCTGACTTTGGTCACTTGACAGACAGTTGGGCACACTGTAGCAGTTTATGAGGGGGTCAAAGATCCATTAGTATCTTCCCCTGAGAGTTAACACAATGGTTAACCGCATTTTACCATTGTGTTAACCGTATTTTACTTATTCATTCATTCATTCATTAGTGTATACTGCACTTAGGTGGTGTAGCCTAAGCTGTTTTAGAGAAGTGTCAAATTTGTCACTGTAGGTCTCATTGTTATTTAAAAAAAAGGACCGCAGCAGAACACCTTTTGTGTCAAACTGTAGGTACCAATATGTGTTGCGCATCAGCTGAGAAATGGCCCAGAAGAAAATTTGGGGGAACATAAAAATGTGATGTCGTGAAATCTGCATTTGCAAAAACTCACGGAGCGAATATGCTGATAGGGAAAAAAAAATCTTATCATTTTTAATTGACTGCGTGACGCTGACATCTTTGCTTGCAGAGTCCTCATCCATCCATTGTCACTGTCAGCAGGAGAAGCTGTATGCTGTCAACTATCTCCTACCCAGTGCGCCTGCGCCCTCTATCCGCCCCCCACCCTCCCTCCATCAGTGTGTGTCTCGGTTCTCCACCTGACAGCTCATCGGGAGACATGCACAGAACCGAGCCCAGGGCTTCTCACCAGCAGTGATAAAAGGCCCCGGTGTCTGCAGTCTGGGCTGGATACTGACCGGCTGTTGTCCTCAGCGTCGTGCTCCACACAGCGGCATGGAGCGCTCCTGATCCCGGCAGGACGCCTGGAGCTCAACCGTTCTTCGCTCGTCACATCTTGGATCTCTTTGGATATTCGGAGGCCCGACCATGTCTGCGAGAGACAAGGGGATCCTGACCAAAGACAGCGTCAGCCTGCTGCCCTGCTTCTACTTTGTAGAGGTTGGTTGATGCTGCATGCTTCTCATTCACAGCGTCTCACTCAGTCGCCTACAAAACAGGACGGATGTATTCTGACGGAGCCGTGCCATCACCTACTCCATATACCGAGAACTAACCTCCTATAATAAAGCGGCGATTAGCTCAATTTGACCCATTTGAGATTTAGGTCACGAGATTATCAACATTAAAACGTCAACAGTCCTTTCTGAGTCAATGAAATGTGGATTAAGTGTGTGCTGTGGACCCCCAGAAGCCTGCATATGTCAGATTATTCCATTATCACCTGTAAAATTAATACATGTGCAGAATGCATTGCTCCATTTTAGATTGTTATTCATCTGCATTGTTAATATTATGCCATTAAAACCTCATAGGACCTGCTCCCAAAGACCAATATTGGGTTTAACTTGCAGAAATGTGCCTTTGAGTAGTAAGACAAAAAACATATTCACATTTAATGTTATTGTCTTTCAACAAGCACCCATAATGATGAAGTTTCCACACAAAGAAAAGATGACAATGCACTGTGAAATAGCTTTAAAGGGGAGTCTGTGGGGACCGGGTTGTAAGCCACCATGGACATGGATAAGGGAATTCCTCGGTGACAGCAGCGTATTACAATACAGGGACTGTTTGACTGTCTTGATGATGAGTTTGAGCTGTATTTTAACAGCGTCATGTTGAAAGCTCTTTTGTGGAGTGATCCAAATGGCCTGACAGTTTCAAAAATTGAAACGCAGATTGCATGCAGCTTGTGGTGACTGTCACTCGTTTTCCTGCTGTGCACTTTATGCATGCTCTAATTCACCACTGGCCTGTGGCTCTTCAATCAAACTGGCATCATATATTATAGAGTAGCTTGTATACTCTATGATGGATGCTGTTGAGATTACAACATCAAGTTGTAACTTGGACAGGGATTCCTTTGATTCCTTGATTTTGTTTTGTTTTTCCGCTCTTTTTTAATCCTTTCATTTACATTCCAATACACTCTTACTACAATTTACATGCCTGACAAAGAAATTCAGCCTTGAGCTTTTCAGATCGCCAAGACTGCTGTTCACTAAAGGATTTTTTACCCTCCATTTTTACAAACAGCAGGAAGCACTTAAACTAGGTCAATGCCGAAAGTTAATTCTTCACAGTGAACTACAACACTTGCACGCACAATTAGTCTAAATCAAGCTCCTTTCCCAGGTGTGTGCGCGCGCCTGTCTGCGTCTGCGTCTCTGTGTGCTTGTGTGGTTTAAAAAAAAAAGGCGAAGGTTGTGGCCTGTTAAGCTCAAACTCTTCCTGCTCTCCTGTCAGCTGTGGCTGCCATGTCCAACAGCAGATGTAGGCAGGAGATCAGAGTCTGTCAATCATGATGTGTCGGTCCCCTCGGGGAGTTTTACCTCTGCATTACTCATGGCCCCTCACCTGTCATATGAATTCTTTATGCTGATAGCTATAAAGTCAGAAAGAAGCTGAACAAACATCAGACCTAAATATAACACAGTCCTGCCATTATGAATTAGCCATGTTTCTCTAAATGCAACTGTACTCAAAGCTAACGCTGATGTCATTACTCAAATTGATCTGCATCACTTCTGCTCCAATAAAATAAATACACATCAGAGCTAGAAACACTACCTATGACAGCTAAAGACAGTCTGTGATGTGAGTGTTGTTCGAGATGTGGTAACTAATATGCTGTGCCATTGCTGTCCTACATTAACATTACCAAGCTTGAAGTTTAACTTATTTTGAGAAGGATAAATAATGAAGACAAGGTTTTTGAAACAAATGCGTTATTGTTGTAGGGGTTTCTGCTTCACAATGATGCTTCATTTAAAAATCAAGCCAGACATTTTTTCAGACGTCTGCTTTGATTTAAAACCCCAAAGTCAAAAAGGCACAATGGTCTTGCATTTCAGTAGCATGGCTGCTAACTAAGTTAAGTTCAGGTTTGTTCTTATACTAGATGTGCCACAAATATTTTCAGATTGACACTAGAGTCAGTTCCACTTCCATTTCCCCCTATAAGAATATACACTTGGCTTAAGTCTTATGGCTGCTTTGACCATCAATGGCATCATAAATGTAGTAAATTTGAATGATCTCAAACCCAGCTTAGGACGGACAAACAATGTTACGTTTGGTTGTAGGAAGGAAGAGTCAGATGTGAAGACATGACAACAAAACTCCCTGAAGCTCCTCATTTAGCTACTGACAAAAACTACTTTTTTAAGGAAGGCTAGAACGCTAATAGCAAACAAAACTGTATAGCTGTGTAGACACAGGCCAAAGTAATGCTGTTAATGTTAAAAGACATTGATAACGGTCAGTTAAAACAGTTCACACGAACACAAGGTCTGGATGAATAATCAGAATTTAGCAAATTGTATTTTTAGAGGCTGTTCTGAAAAGAAAGAAACTTTAAACAATGATGTAAATTGATAAAATACACATTATTTAACCCTTTAACTGGACCCCAATGGCAATGTCAGTTGTGTGTGCACAGGATTAGCTCGTCCTGGTGTCCACTTCACATAACAGCCTCTGCCATCTGTGTATGAATGTTGCGTGAACCTAAAAGGGCTAGTCACAAGACTAGAAAAGGGATATTTAAATGTAGTCTATTCCATTTACCATGTAAATGATAATGTATCGTCTTGATATATTAACTCCGAGAATGAGATGAGACCTGTGGGTTTTATTTGAAAATATCAACTGGCTATCATCCTTCTCATTATCCAGGTACATATAGCTACATACAAGACCCTAAGTATTGATCTAAAAATGATTAATTTATTGATTTATAAATATTAGTTTGTGCAGATCAAAGGCAAAAAGTCACTCAGTTTCAGTGGCTAGTCATGTCAACCTTCAGGGAGCACTTTCCATCACAATTTCATCTCACTTTGGGTTTTTCTATTAGCATTTGCAAAATATATAATTTCCTCTACCAGTAATCTGTTGGCATATTCTTCTCGTTCAAGCTGCTCAAGGCCACATTCCTGTTGCAGTTTGGTGTTGCTTCATTTCTATTCTCTTAATTTGTCCCTTGTTTTCTTAGACTCAGCTTCTTGTGTGTTTTAATATCATGATTATTTCGTAATTATTATTTTAGTGCTTTTCTCCCTTTTGTTTTAATTTTATGCTGGTCACTGGATGACCATTAACCTGCCCAAACTTAAGTTCTGTACTTTCCAAATGAACTGAGTGTAGTATTACAAATATTTTACTTGTTTTAAATGCTGCAATCAGAAAGTCACTTTTTTGTTAGTTAATTTAATGTGTATAGTCAGGGTGTTCTGGTGTGCCACCTGAGTAAGAAAGTTGGGAAGTAACACACAAAGGTGTCATTAGATTAGTAACCTCAGAGCAGGAGTCTGAAGCTGTTAAGACATTCAACTAGATTTTTAAACTGCTTTTTACCCCCCTGCTAAATTATCAATGTTTGCCAGATCTCAAAATGAGTGACACATGTCTCATATAGGCACTTGCCTTCGAAGGGGGCTCCACCATACACGCTAAAATCAGTTTACTGCTTATAAGGCCAATTACTCCTTAATTCCACTGTCAGGTTGGAGCCATCGGTTATTCAGTCACCTTGTTTGACAAGTATTATACCTATTAGCAGTCTCTATGGAGAGTGCTGATCATTGACTTTCTACAATTATGGATGACACAACTCCAATCAAATCTGTGCTAAGCCTGGAGTGCAATCCATAGGGAAGGACTCTATTGTTTGTTCATCAGGGTCCTGCTCAACACAGCTGGGACTCGAATTTGCAGAACAGCCCGTTCACTTTCATGCTGTCATGATAATGGGTTTTAAAAAATAAAACCCTCTGTTTGCTGTTCGAGCAAAAGGTGTCGTATTTTTGTTAGATCAGACTGACCCCAGACAGGTGGACAAAGAAAATGTCATAGGATTTCATCAGACCAAGAAAAGAGGCTGATTGTGTTATAGAATAGTTCAGATGATACCGTTAGGGTCTTTTGCATGTGGCTGAAGAAGAGGGAATGAATGTGAGACTAAGAGAATTAGGCATAGAAATGAGGCTGGCGCTGAGTGTCAGAAGATGTAGGGCAATGGAGCATCTCTGCTGAGCTGAACCCTCCCCAGAGGAGCAGAAGCTTCTCGGAGAAAGAGAGCGTAAGAATCATGAAGTCATTCTGCTCTGTGATTTATCACAGTGTGCTGTTGTTTCTTCAATCTGACTGCTCTGTTTGCCAGATAAACCACAGACTCTCACATCACTGTCAGTATTATCATCCTGACAGAGTCGTCTTTCATTAATTCAAATAGTCACAAATCTCTAGATCCATGATAAGACTTCACTTTAATTTTTCAGGACACTATTCGATTCAGTCTGGGTTTAATATTTTTGACAGTTACTGGCAGCTGTGTCAGTGAGTTTGTTTTCAACTTACTCATAACTTCTTTTAAGAGCATAAAACTTTAGACTGGTGATTAATAGCTATACAGACACCTGCAGAAAAAAAGGAGAGACATCAGCCAAATTGAAGAAAACAAACATAAAACAACCACAGTGTTGCCCAGTTTTGCAGTGTAATAGGACAGGTTGAGTTAGAAGAAAATGCCAAGAGAAGAAGATGTCTGGTGCTGTTGTTATTTCTACTCCTGATAACAGAAAAGTGCTAATGTTTAGACTCTGCCTTAATCAAAGTATTTTAATGACAATTGAGCCTGTAAGCAGATAGACAAGAATACTGGTACCATGAGAGCGCTAACAACTTTTAAAATTGAGAGACTACTTTTTAGATGTACAAAGGAAATATATTTTTAAACTAATACAATCATAAATACATCAAAGCTTATTGTCAGTTTTTTTTGTAAATCTAGTTCATTATCAGCTGAATACTTTGTAGGAAACCAGTGATTGTCCAGATTAAACCCCCTTTACTGAATACCAACACTGTGAAACAGGACGGTTTCTGGTTCAGAGTAACTCTGTGGCCTTTTGGTTTCTTGATGTCTGTTCATGGTTGTTTGGTGTCTAAATTAACTCTTGTCTCTTTGTGGTCGCTTTGAGTTTTGTCTGTAGGTTTTGTGTGTCTTTGAGGATTTTCCTGTCTGAAATATTTCTCTTTTTATTTTTGATGGATTTTTTTTGTGCCACAGTGGGTTGTTGTTTTGCATTATTTTGTCTCGAGTGACTTTTCAAGTATTTACTGTTGCTTTATGTCTTTTAGTAGGCTAGTTGAGGTTTTTTATTGTCTCTACTGGGATTTGTGTTTTGGATATTCTGTTCCTCTTTGCAGTTGTTTTCTGTCCCTTTGTGTTTTTTTATTTATTTTTTATTGCACTTGTAGCTTTGTGTCTGAAGTGACTTTATGTCCCTTTGTGATGTTTTACATCTCAAGAAATTTTGTGTGTGTTTTGGTTGGGTGTTACTTGATATTGTGTATATCTGTAACATCTTTTGTGTTTCTTTGTGTCTTTGTGTTTCTTTGTATTTTTTTTTTATTATTATCCAATTTTTTTGTTCTTTGCTGACATTTGTTTCTTTGTAGTAACTTGGTGTGCTTTTTTGTGTTCAATGGATTTTCTGTCTCTTTAAATCTGTGTTTTTTTCATGCTCTTTTGTACTTTTCTCTTTAAGTTTTTTTATTTGCTTTGTAGTCTTTTTTGTCTCCTTTTAATTGATTTTTTCAAATTTGCTTTGTGTCTCTCTGCTGTTTGAGGATTCATTAGGCGTAGTGATGTGTAGTGATTCAGCGTCTCTTTGTGGTTGTTTTGAATAAGTTTTTTGGGGTCCAGTCTGGGTTTTTTTTTGTTGTGTGGTTATTAGGTGTCTCTTTGCGCTTTATTTGTGTTGTGTTGTGTCTCTTTGTGATCTATCTTGTCTTTGTGGTTAGTGTCCATTGTTTTGCAGTTGTTTCTAATGTTATCGTCCTCGTTATTCATCAGTCATTTTTGAGTTTGGTTGTATTTTTGTTCCTCTCACAGGTAATCAGTGCACTGCAGGCAAACACCCACTTGCTGCTCCTAAATTTACTAATGGGCTTGTGACTGTAAAGTAAAGCACTGAAGTATTTATAAACAGTGCAATCACTTTTACAGGAAACAGTGCTTTAATAAGAGTTTGCTAAAATTAGCTTAATTAAGGTTGGTGGGGTACAAATCAGGTAGGCTACTATTTCGATTATTCCAGTTTCTGAATAACAGAGATCTCTGTGACTTATACACTCACAGTTGACAAAATCCTCATTAAACTCTATCTCAAAATAAAAAAAACAAACCCTAAACTAAACTCCTTTAAGTGTACAGCTATTTGTTGTGTCTCTTTCTAGTTGTTATTTCATGTTTTTGGATGAAAGACAGAAATAGACATCTTCATGCAAATTGCACAGCTGTGGCTCAGGAGTAGAGTCAGCAATCTCTCAATGTGAACGTCTGGACCTTTCTATACAAAAATCTTTAACGTCTACCCATTATTTTTGATCAAAGTAGATGCTTTAAGCTTCTTCCACTGCCAAATTAGTTCAGCAATAGAAAGACAAGATTTGCCACATGCGAAAATAAAGGAAATATTGATCAGCCATAGCTGAAAACCAGAGGTTTTACAGTTGACAGCATAATCTTTTAGTGTACCCATCCGGACTGAGGCAGCAGTTAAAAGCATCTGTGATTAGATAATGTCTTCAAAAAGAGATGTCATATTCAACACCTCTGTTTCTGGAGCACAGAAGGCACACTGGACATACAAATCTCAACCCTGATGAAGTTGGGTCATTGTGTAAAATGAAACAGGAGTAAAAATATGCCTTTCCTTACTGATGAGTTGGCAACACTGATTCTGTTTTTAATTACCTTTTACACAACAAAGGAAGAAAGTACCCAAACTTTCTCAACAGCAGGGATTCCTCTTTGTGGAAAGCTGGAACGAAACAGCAGTCCTTTTCTGTCATTCCAACAAGGATTTCTAGATATAAACCCTTTGCTGTTGTATAATAAGATTTTCATCTTGCAAAGTTTCCTGGATCTTCATAAAAAAATTTGCACGATTACAAATAATTGGGTTAAACAATGTTTGTCTGTTGCTTTTTTTAGCACCAGCTGGCATCTTTCCGACAAATCTTTGTTGACTGAGTCATGGAACAACCAATTTCCAAATAAACAATCTAAGCCCAAACCAATTGGACACTCCGACACTGAGGAAACTCCCTGTCTGTTCACTTGGCCCAACATCCACCAAAAATAACTGCCAGCTAAAGCCTACTGGAGCCTGCTTTCCATTTTACACATCTATTATTCAAACTGAACTGTCTCTCTCCTGTTCTCGCATCTCTGTAATCACTGAGGGCTGCCAGGAACACTTGGGAGCCTGTAGAAGGATTATCGTTGGGAAAACTTTCAGAGGAATGTTGTATGGCAGAAAGCTTAAGAGTAGTCCAAATTTTAAGACTCAAGAAGGTGGTGCATAAAACTGGAAATCAAACTCCTGTACCGAGTGCACTTCAGATAGTTTAGGAAGAGTTTACATGTAGAATGAAATGTTTATCTTTACCTTTTAGTGAAGATCACTGGATTATCAAATTAATGTTGTTTTTAACCACAAAAGAATGAACATGCTGAGCTCTCTCTTACTTGGAGCAGTTTAAGGAACCAGCCCTTTAGCCAAACGACCTCCATGGGAGCAGAGGTCATTCTGATTACAATTAGCCTATTTGAGCAAAACATGAGGACATTTTCAATTGATTTTTAGGGAGCCAGAAAACTGATATTTTATCACTAGAATGAAACACTGATTCTAATGTATGCCCATTAAGACTTCTTTGCACATTCTCAATTAGGACTGGGCGATAAAATGATAATATTTGTTGAAAATTAATTTCCCTCATTATCAATATAAAACATGATCAATATCCTTTTCGATAGTTGGCATTCTGCCATATTTTGGTAGACTATATGAATAGCCAATGAAAAGGGGAATTGCTCTGGGTCAGCTTCGCATTGAACCAACATGTGCTGGATGAAAACCAAGTAGCAAACAACTGTGTAGTAGCAGCTACACGCAACCATAGCATTTTAACACGTGAAGCCAACAGCACTGTCGGTGAGGAAAAAAGAAAATGAGTGCTACCCCCGCAGAAATGCATATGAAGGCTCAACAGATGATGAAATCGTCAACAACACTGGTAACACTGACAATAATGTCAGTGGTGTGGAGGTATTTTGGTCTTTTGAGGTCGGACATGTAGCAGAGTAATGTGCACTGCAAATTATGTCGAGTACATGTTCTTGCAAAGCCGGGGAATAACTCAAATCTTTTTCATGCGGCAGAGCAAACAGCAAGGAGCTCATGGCACCTGTGCAGCCGAAACAGCTGACATTCAGTCCCCTTTCTCTATGGCAACCTATGACAAAAACATCAAAAAGACCTCACAGATGCAGTAGCTTATTGTATTGCAAAAGACATGCTTCCAATAAGCACTGTTAAATTTTCCTTTTTATATTGTGATATTTCGATATTGACTGAGATGAAAAAAAAATACACTGTTATAAACTTTTTCACATATCACCCAGCCCTGGTCTCAATAGACATACATGATCAGATCAGGCTCTGGTTCTCTTACACCATATACACAAGACAACCTAAACTCCTTCCTAAGCATGTTAGCAAAAATAGAGTAAAAGGATGCAACTGCTTTTTTATCATGTTAAATAACAATAGAATCACATGATGCAAATGCAGTTATATAACATGTTAAATAAACAGCTTTTTGTCAATGCTAAAAATATTTCTTTTCTTCCACAGAGAGGGTAATTTATATAACAGTGGTGAGATGAATCAATTAGGAAAATGTCATGACAGATAAAATCCAGACAGCAAATCAATGTGGGTGTGTGAATCATCCCCTGAAAAGGATAAACCTAAAAGCAACCCAGGGTATTCAAACTTCATCAGAGCTCAGGAAAGTCTCTAGGCTTAAAAGTCACTGAAAAAAAGCATGTTAAATACCAACTTAACCACAATTTGCCAGACAGGGATATTTGTCTTTGTTCCCAACTGTTACAGGAAAAGTCTGTAAAATCACACCAAGAGGGTTAATCATCATTAACACTGAAAAAGTTAGTCTTAAAACTTAAAACTTACCCCCACGCTGTGCTGCACTGTATTTTAACGCTAGGCTTTGATGATAGTTTAATGTTTTTATCTACAATCTGAACTGCAGATGCATATGAATTGCTTTTTGTACCCTGGTTTGTTTCACTATTAAAAGACGTCTTTAACTCAGCAAAAAGTTTTCAAAAATCACAAGGATGTGTGGGGAAACTGAAGCATATCTAACACGATTAGCTGCTATTGGCCTGCACGAATCACGCTGCACTTTCAAATAACAGGATATGACATAAAATATCCTGCAGAAATCTACTTTGAAGTATGGGGAGCTGCTTCATCTACAAAGCATGAGCAGTGCAAGTGGTGATGCCACTGACCTATATTTCTGGTTTCTATGAGCTGAGATGCAGGATGAGAGGTGAAGAATGCTGACAGTAAGCCAGGAGGAATCAGACCTGAAAGAGGGGGAGGGGAACAGTGCATGTGGAGCTTAGAGGGGGGCTGCATGAGCTGGTTTCTATAGAGAACACACACCAAGATAATTCCTGCATGCATGTTGCTTCTAGGATTTATTCATCCATTTAATATACAGTAAAGACTCGGTCTGTTTAATAAGCATTAAGGAATCATAAAAATACAATGGGTTTGTATTACTCTCATCAGAATCACAGACTGTTTTGTAGGTTTCAGAGATACCTTTGTACCTAATCAGAATCCAGGAGCAGATATATTTTTCTATAGATCTCAACATATCTGTTTCATGTCAGATTTTTTTAGTCTCCTTCAGTTTATTCCATTTTAACTTAAATTAGCTGCCATAACTTTGAGATGAACTGTTTGTGTTTGTTTGGCACAGAAATGTGAAACTGGACTTTGACTCTTGAAGATGTGTTTAAAGGGATATTCCTGCGTAGAGTTAGACAGCCCCTCGAGAGATGAATGTTGCCGACGGCTTGCTTCTCTAGTTTTACCAGCTTTAGTAACGACCGCAGGATAGCAATACACAGTGGTCTGAGGAGCCACACACAAACCTCAACCAAAATGCCACTCTGTAACCACAAATAATGCTCAGAACAGCACCTAACTTCATCAACAGTACATATAGGGTCCCAGCCATAGTACTAGCCATCAAACATCTTTTTAACATTGCCTAATTTCTTAAGCAAAGGGAGTAAACACAACTCACCTACTCTCTTCCAGCAAGCGCTTGTTTGTAGCGAGACCTCGGGCCAGTCCATTATGGACTGCTGTGGGGTGACGCAGCTCAAGGAAGAAAAGAGTTTGTTTTTTTACTCTACATAAGTTTTGGGAAGTTTTAGATGTAAGCATTATAAATTAATATCATCCTTGAATGCACAAAATTCTATTTTTGTTGTGTTGCAACTAAGCATTAGACCTGGTGTGTAAAAAAATCATTTGAATCATGGCAACTCAACCTAAAAACTAGCACAGGCAGTGTGATCATGAGGAAAAACAACAACTTAGTCAATTCCGGTTATCTGAAACTCTTAAACTGGAGCTTGGACCTGAAATACAAGCGAGCTCAGCTTAAATGTTATTCTTCTGCATAACTAGCCACACAGAAAGTAAGTAGGTCAAAGTTTTGGCAGAACGTGGTTCCAAAGATTACGCTCATTATTGTAAACAGACAGCCTGGATAATCATCCGTGCTCCCACTAACCTTTGTAACGTCTTTGTGATTGTGCCATCTCCTCAAATATCAACATTCAAAGATAATTTGTGACACAAAGGTGAAACAGTACTTTTGTGTTTCATATGAGGATAGTGCAAAAGTGAACGGGCTCTCTGAAAGCAAAGTAAAGCAAACTTCAAATAGAGTTTGAACAAACAGTGTTTTGGTTTAAGTTCGTTGAAATTGGCTGAATTTTGTGGTAGAGGTGGACCCGTCCGTGGCGGTTGATAAGCGAGCTTATGTTCTGGTTCTTTACAACGCCTAATATGATTGCTATCCCCTTTTACTGAAGCACTTACAAGTACCTCATTCAAACCTGCTTAAAAAGGAGGAACTGTCCCTTGAGTTTATCCTAAACTGCACAAAATAAACAGAATAAATTCAAATAAAATAATAGGAAGTTGACAAAGTTGCAAACAAAGTTTTTTTTTAATTGTTAGATTGGACAGGACTGTGCAAAATGTTGATGAGAAAGCTGAGAGCTGAATCATTTTTTTTTACAGACGGTCAGGCACACAAACAAGGAAAGAAAAAAAACTGAACATCTCTTTAAATCTGCAACAAGACAATCTACATACAGCGCCGCAAAGACTGTTCCCTCCTGCATGAAGAGTTTTTGTAGCTGTCAGCTTAACACGCAAACCTTCTCGTCAGTATCCACCCCACAAATTCTGCAATAAGTCAGAGTGTCCTCTTACCGCCAACAGAAGTTAAGCACGTTTTTTTCATTACAATTTTTTTTGTAAAGATGGAAAAAGGTGGAAATTAGTGATAAATTCTGAAAGATGAAGGAAGAAACAGGGTGTATTTTAGCTAAAACTGTTAATTTGGACGAAAATCCCATAGGTGGCCATCCAGCTGACCTAAAATGGAATGAACTTGCTCCAGAAAATAAATAAATAAACCTGTTGTGCACTCAAACTGATCAAAGATATTAGCTATGTCTTTAATAATGAACCTAAAAGTGCAGATATAACAGCATGATAAAACCTGCAAACCTTTTAATCTGAGTTCCAAAATTACAACAAATACAACAGCTTAAACTGCAAGAAGATGATGGGGAAGAAGTAAAGGTGAGACTGACACCAAGAAGGAAGAGTCCTGGCAGTGCTCCTAAAGTCTGAACAATTCCTTTCACCCCACTAGACAGTAATTCTGTGCTCTAGAGATGACTGTCAGTGCAGCTGGCTGAACCAATGTTGAACCAGTGGTGATTAGTCATTATAACTCACAGTACTGCAGCCCAGTGTGACTGTCTCTGCACTGTCAGCAGCCAAGCAGGAGAAATCCTGAATGCACCTGTTGCTTTTTTCTTAACTGAATTATTAACTTTAACTTACTCTGAAACATTCAGATATTATCAAATCAAAGATGATAAAATAGGGGATTAAAACACAAGTTACATGCCAAGCATAACACATTATAGCCAAATTGGTGTAAAGGGGCATTTTGCAGAACATACTAGGTAGAAGTGGACTGCAATATTCATAATCATATTTAAATGTACTTATAATTACCTATATTATTTTTTTTTAAAGTGTTTTTTTATTTTTTATTTTTTGGTAACTTGTCATCTTGCTCCACCAATTCTATGGTAGTGCAGAACAAACACAATAGTAAGGGCCATGTGTCTGCTTTTATCTAGCAAGTTGTCGTCTGATATGCACTGATTGAAAGATGAAGAAGACCAACAAGGTGTGTGTGTTTTTTTTTCTTTTTCTTCTTTTGTGCACAAAGAGTTTGTTTTGATGGGAGTCTTTGACGATAAAAAAAACATGCAAATAGAGAATCATACTTTCATGCTTCATGCAAGAGATCATTTGAATCAGAATCTGAATGAACCCCAACATTCCCATTTATAATCATCAAAGTGAGTGAACTGAGGAGGAGTAGAGAGGTCTAATTATGACATAATGATCCCTGTATTGGTGGTGAATGCCTGTCATTCCTCGACAGCAGACAATGAAATATCAATCGATCCCTCTCTTTTATCTCTACCTTTGACATGCTTTTTCTCTTCCCTTTGAACTGTATTCAGAGTCTTTCTATTTTTCAAATATTTGTATTCCCCTGAGGGTCTCCCTAAAGTCCTTTGTAAGTAACATGATAAAACTATTCTCTTTGTAGGGAATGATTGAGTTAGAAAGGAAGGATGGCAGGACAAGAAAACTAGTGTGAGTGAGAAACCCCTGGCAGAAACATCAGACAGACAAAAGGAAGGAAGTCTGCAAACAGAGGCCCTCTGTTAGCTGGATGTGTGTGTGTATAAGTGGCTCAGCTCCCAGCAGGAGTATGCTGACTCAAAGAGATCCCCATGTATTGGGCTCGTAGTGGGGCCTGTCCTTCGTCATGGTGGTCTTTTGAGCATTAGCTGAGTGAGCAGCAAGCCTGCCGCTGTGTACCAGTGAATCAGGTTATTAATCTGCACGATGAAGCCTGAGATGCTGCGGGCCACATTCAGCCTCCACTGGCACAGCTGACTGCAGTCGGTTGAACCTTTACTGCCTTCAGTAACAATCAGCTTTCTGCCTACACATGCACCTCATTTATTCCTGTTATTCTTTAAGGAAAGAGAAGAAACCTGTTACCATTTGGAGGGTAGGGGACTGCCTGCAGTGTCTGCTGACATTATTCTTTTATTTCTTCTAAGGATTTGAGGCACTCTGGAGATGATATGAAAAAGTCCTTATTTTTCAGGGCTGTAGAGTCACAGTAAAGAAGTGTCAAAGTGCTTCATCCACTAAAGCTTCCATCAGGCCAGATACTGAGTTTGTCCTGCTGAATCCAGAATGATTCTCTCTGTATGAGTCTTCTTAACCGGTCTCCACTTCTTATTGAGTTTGCAGTGTGTTCAGTGTCTGATACCTACAAAGATGTACAGCTGCTATGATCAGTGCCTTTGTAATGTAAGGGCTACTGTGGGCTACCTGTGCCTTTAGCATGTTTACACTTAATTCTGCAAATGTAAAAACAGCCACAAAGACTCTCAAGATGGTTATCCACAAATGAAGTATTGCAATTTGTAAAAGATTTAACTTACGACCTGAAGATAAATCAGTAAGTGGTTGAAACAAACAAAAAAAAAACAGACAACAAACTGAAACAAACAATCGGTTGAGTTTGATCGGACGTGTCTGTGTTTTTGCAAACTAAATATTCATGGAGGTGAAGGGCTCAGTGTGAGTCAGAAATTGTCAGAAAGGTAATAGTTGTGCTTTATAGTAACTTTTAAAATCATGTTCCTCAGCTTTAAATTCCATGTGTTGGAGTTTTGCTGACACTCCTTAAAACTCCGTCCAGATTTACTACATGCATGGTGAGCTCTCAGGTCATATCTGACAGCAGGCCTGTAGAGTGTAAGCACATGAATCATGCAACATCATCTGTGTGTCGTACAATTTACTCGAAGAGCGTGAGTTTGTCTTCTACCAAGACTTTTCAGATAACAGCTAGACTCTGCTGTGGTAAAAATAAAAATAATAATAATAATAAAATAAAATAAACAATCTGTTTACTCACTGTAATCGCTGTCCTGCTCTCTAATAATGTCCACTTTGTCATCTTTTTGGTTCTCATTGACTCACACAACTCCGACATCCAGAGGGAAGGTGGTTCAACTGCTGTTGAAACACAGTTTTGGTCACTTAGGTCATCTTGAGGACCATAGTTAGCACTTTCCTTTACGGTAGTTTTAATGCATCAGAAATAATGCATCAGATTTTATAGCACTATATCAGAGACCCTCAAAGCACTTTACATTGGATACATCATTCATTCATTCACACAGTCAGAACCTGGTGGTGGTAAACTACCTTAGTAGTCACAGCTGCCCTGGGGCCAGTTTGCACCTACGGCCTCTCCAACCACCAACACACAACACTGCACCAACTAGTGGTTGAAGAGGTGACTAGTTAAGTAACTGATAAAACCTGTACTTGACACATGCACAATCTCCACAAGAAAAAAAATGGAAATGAAGGCAGTGCCATATTGATTTTTCTTCAGGCCATGGAAAAGGGGATCCAAAATATTAAAAACTGTAATGATTAAAAAAAAAATCATTTGAAGCTGCAAAAGCTAACATTTTGGTCACTTCAGAAATTCTTCACAAACTGGGTGTAAATGATCCCCAGAAAATGAAAAGTAGAACTGCTAAATACTGAGAAAGTAGAACATTTTTCATCAGTCATGTAAGAATGTTTTATTCCAGAGTTATTATTATTCATTGAGAGGATGCTGAAAAGCACATGACCAAAAACTGAGAAGCTGAAGGCAACGATCAAAGCAAGCTTGGCCTCAGTAACACCTCAGCAGTGCCAAAGCCTGATCCCCTCTCTACACGGATGCAGTAATTTGTGGTAAAGGAGCCCCATCCAAATACTGAGTGTATGAATGAACATACTTCCCAGAAGTTAATTTTAGAATTTAAACCAAGTTTTTAATTGAAAGGAGGGGAAATTTCAATAATTTTGAATACTTTATTGATGATTTTCATAAACTCTTAGCCAAAATCATCAAAAGTTAAAAGACTTTTCATGTCATGAAGAATATATGAAAGTTGAGCTATTTGAATCTTTGTGCATCACTCTAAAGTTTGTTTTAATTTTAGTTTCCTGAATAAAATGTCAGCTTTTATTTAGTTGGTGCTCACCCAATCATGACTGAATCCAAAATATTAGCAGATGAATGACAGAGGATATACTTTTCATGAGTGCAAACTTTTCCCTGAAATGATGAGACACCTCTTTGATTTTCTATTTCCTGTATATGATCAGTGAAAACTCTCAAATGTGTTGTGGTGTAGTCTCTGGTAAAATGGTGCATCAGTCTCTCCTCAGCACCACAGCTCTGGTGTCTCAGAGCTCATGAAGGATTGGATATCCACTGCTGAAATGCCACAGTACACATTACACTGATGCTGTGAAAGGTCAGTGGTGAAATGACTGCAGTGAACCATTAAACATTTCTAGAGCAGGAATTTTCATAACCAGCACCGCAGACCACTGAGGCAGTTTCTGTTATTGAACTGAGAGATGAACACCAGCTTTATTACTCTAATTTCTTTCGTCGTTGGGATTGAACTGCTGTGTTTTGATTGCTTTTACTGTTATTGGCTCTCCAGCTGGCACAGGAACTAGATAAATGATTTCATTGTCTTTTTCGGTTTCTGGAGAATTCATGTAGTCATCTTGAGTGAGCAATTCATTTCCACATGCCGTCTTCTATAACCTTCAGCACCATCCTTAAACCCCACCTCCCACCCCCACCCCCTTTAGTCATGCAAACAATTTTCCATGCTTTGATCCTCATTATCAAATCAAATTAACATGTTCATTGAACCATAGGTTTATGGGGACATTTGCAACACTCTCTGCCTGTTTATCTATTTATTTATTCATTGGCAATCTGTTAAAGTTCCTCCTGCTGCAGCTGTTTATGACTTTGAACTAACTTACTTGGTATATCACTGTCTTCTTCTGTCATGTTCATCAATAGCTCCCGATCCTGGTATCTTCGGTGGTCAGCCTATACTTCCTGGAGTGGACAGATTTGTTTAAGCCGGTGAAGTCTGGGTTCAACTGCCATGACCGCAGCCTGAGCCTTCCTTACATCGACCCAAACCACGAGGTTATTCCCCTGCTGATGCTCCTCAGCCTGGCCTTTGCTGGACCTGCCATCACGGTAAAAATGACACAACCAAGTTATGAAGAAAGATGGAATAGAAATTATCTGTGGTGAAAAAGTGATTGCTCTTTGGGTGGCATACTTAACTGAACAAGTCCTGCTGGTCTGCAAAATTGCATCTAGATCATTCTCCAATTGGTCAGGGCTGGCAAAGACTAAGCTAGACCTATGGAATCTGGTCCCAATCAGAAATGGAATCAAGATCAACAAGATGTTACCTTTGCACATCATTTAGCTTCAGTTCATCTTGCCTTGTAATTCTGGATATGTCTCTCCATCCATCTAGATTTACACAGAAAAGACATGAGAATCCTGCTGTCTGCTCTGACCATTCAGAGCAAACATATTTAATATGAATTAACATAATGGTCTCTATTTTCGTGCTTCGCCGGAGACGCGGCGTATGCGCGGCGTAAGTCAGGTCCATGCACTGATAAAGCGTTCTCAGGCAAAATTTGCTATTTTGGTGAGCGGCGCAGCCCCGCGTAAGTATCCCCCCTCCCTAACTCAGCTCCTCCCAGCGGCGTAAGTTGTAGGGAGGGGGAGAGAGGGCATGGAGTGGATTTTAACACAGCCGAGACCTGTATTGACCAATAACATCAGCTCCTCTCCTCGCCTTTAAATCCGCCACTGGCGAAGAGTATTACTATTTTCGTGAAATAGTCAAAGAGATCAAGAGATGTCTATTTACTAGATATTTAATTTAATTTAATGCGGTTTCAGCTGTGTTGATTTGGTCAGGTTGTGTGTCCAAATGCATGCCAAACGCACTCATCAGATCAGATATAGATCAGAATATATCTATATAGATCTAAATGTATGTGCCTTGTGATGTATGTATGTGACTCAGATTATTAGTTGTTGATGATTATTTATTGCACTGAAATGTGCCTGACACTGTGGAAACCTGCCGGTGAGGCATCGGTGACATATGCCGATACGTCGCCGGTCTACCAAAATACCACTAGACCAGCTGCGCTCCGCCTGCGCTGAAAGCTGACCAGGTTTGAATTGGCGAGCTTTCAGCGCACTTAACACACCACCGGCGAGCACGAAAATGTCACTGCGCCAGCTGATTCTGTCGACACCTCCCCCTGCCACGCCACCACGCCCAGCTTGGCAGATCTCGGTGCGCCTCAGTCCACAAAATTACCAAACTGGCTGTATGCCAGGCTCCGCCAGATGAAAATACCACTGCACGGGGTCCGCCACCCTCTGCCGCCTCACTGGCGGACATGAAAATAGAGCCCAATGTCATAAACAGTATAGGAATGAAAGAGTTGGAAACTACTATATTAGCTCTCGATTAATCTGCAAAATATAGGAAATCAATGTGATGTCCTTCAAAAGACAGTATCTTTAATATCCTATATATCCTTAGTCCTGCAGTATCCTTAATATTATTCATACCAATGAGGTGGGAGTTGTTATTGTTAGCCTAATTAAGGTAACCATGGTGTTAGTTTGACCTTAAGGGTTAACATGCTTGGGTGAGAGAGTTTAGTATGAGTCACACTAGAATTACTTTTAAGTGAGCATGAAATGTTGTTGCCATGGGCTACAGGTGGACGGGACACAGTTTGTACTGAGGTATCACTAACGATGAAAATAATGTTTGCAGTGACAACTCAGAGTATCTGGTGTTACCAAAAGCTGAGGACACTGGTGGTGAAATCTTTTGGTTTTACTGTCAATTATTTACTGCGCATGTGTTTTTTCAGTGCATCAGCTCTGATTTAGGAGATAATGAGAGTAATTTTGGTAGTTTGATATTTCACACTCTGACTTTGGTAAACATAAACTGTGAAGAACTCTAGTCTGTGAAGTAAAGCGTTAAAAATCTCAGTTCGAATAAAGGGAAAATAAAGAGAGAAACAGTTTATTTTGAGAGATGTGATGTACATTTCTTAGAGAAATGCTGGTTTAGTGAGAATTAGAGATACAGTGTGTCAGTTTCAGTATTATGCAGATCCCTCAGAGGCCCTCCTTTAAATACTCCTAATCCCTCTTTCTGTCCATCATGGCTGCTGCCTTCTTTCTTTGTTCCTCCCTCTATTGTTTTCCACTCTTTGTGATTTAGTGCTAAATACTTTACATTCATATTGGCACATTACTATTTTTGTGTTCTGCGGAAATCTGTTTTCCTAGATATGTCGCGGTTGCGGTTTACAGGTAGCCAGGCATCCCATTGTAATACCATGTGTCACATCAGGAGGATGAGGTTTGGTTTGAGAGTATCAAACAAGGGGGATCGTTCTTGGCCCAGACTCTCTTCTCGAACCAGAACTTGGAAGGCCACATAGAGGTCAAGCGACAGGACACCACCACATGCAGCAGCCATTCCCAGCAGCTTACATTCCAGTATTTGTGTCCATAATGAGAGAGAAGACTGCTCACTTCATGCAAATCACAGAAAGTTAAAAAGATATTTTATCCCAGGAGCTAAAACTGTGCAGGTTGAGAGGGAAGAGTAGGATTATGGAAAATGAAAGGACCTGCCTCTCCACATCCTCTTTGAAATCAGACACCTGTAGCCCTCTCTGCAAACATGCTGCATATGTGTGACTGACTGTTGTGTTAACAGATAATGATTGGAGAGGCCATCTTGTTCTGCTGTCTCTCTCGGAGGAAGAATGGTGCCGGAGCTGAGGCGAACATCAACGCTGCTGGCTGCAACTTTAATTCCTTCATACGCAGAGCTGTCCGCTTTGTTGGTAGATTATTTTCCTTCCCCTTATGTGCAAACTGGCCTGAAATAAGGTCACAAGTGGCTTTCCTCCTGTCTCATTTTCCACACAATTTGATGAACTATTTTGCCTTTTTATACTGTGTTTTATTGATACTGAAGTGGCAATGTCACAAGGTAAACTTTAGCAAATGGTAACGTTATCTTTTTATTCTAGACCTTTGATATAAAATAAACAAAAGCTAATTTTCATACAGCCTTCATAGAGTGTACTAGTCCTTTACAGTATCTCAAACCCTATTATCAGCTGTGTTTCTGCCTCTATCTGTTTGTTCTTATCCTTAATGAAATTTGACTTCCACCTGTTTCTTCAGGTGTTCATGCTTTTGGTCTTTGTGCCACGGCCCTCATCACTGACATCCTCCAACTGATGACCGGCTACCCAACACCTTACTTCCTCACTGTGTGTAAACCCAACTACACCACCCTCAATGTCAGCTGTGAGCAGAACCCCTACGTGATGGAGGATATCTGCTCAGGAGCAGACCCCACGGCCATCAACCAGGGAAGGTGAGGAGACAACAGTAGAGACACGATGCAGTTGATACTAACAAAAATGTAGAAAAGGAGAAAAGAGGGTGGTGAAAACATTAGACTCTTTCTAGGGCTGGGTGATATGACCTAAAATTAATATCACAATATACTGAGCAGTTCACCTTGATAACGATAAATGGACGATAACTACTCCACAAGCTGCTCACCCCCTCCCACATTAACTTCGTCTACTTCAGCCGCTACTTTTGAAGTGTCCTCCATCTCCTCACCTGTCTTTCCCTCTTTGTTACGGACTGGATGAGGTGGAGTCAAGTCTCCAAAGTAGGACAGCATCTATAAGGGACATGAGACCATAGCCTACCTACACACATCCAAAACAAACTTTTATTTATTTATCTTTTTTGACACTGAATATATCCACATGGGCAAAATTACGTCAGTTATTGTAGTAAATTTCGGTATCCGTAAATTTTCAGTTCATCGCCCAGCGCAAACTTTTGCACAGGTGAAGAAATGTATCGGTGTATAAGTAATAAAAATATGAGGGTAATTAAAATGATTCAAAATAATGAATTATATATTCCCCTTACAATTTATCACTAGCATATTCATATTTCAGTCCCACAGAAGAATACATTTGAATCTGAAGTTTAAGTAAATCTTTACTCTGTTACCCCTCTTGCACAGGCATGTGTTAATAATACAGAAACATAAATTTGTATGACATCCACATTTAATTAAAAACTAAAAAAAACAGTCCTCATCTACAAAATAAATGTTTTTTTAAACAATCTGTATCCTTAATTATTATAATAAACATGTATCATGTCTTTATTTTATGGTATCGTACATCACAGCAATCATACCATACCATGTTTGTCATACTTCATTTACACTGTTATGATCTTTAAAAAATGGCATAAAGCCATACTTGATTGAATCGTATAGGATTAATGCATACTTGCATTTCTGAGCATTTTTCCATAGGGAGGAAAGTGAGAAGATTTAACCCAGTTTCCACATTTCACTCTGAGGTCTGTGGGGAGAATCTGCTGATTTTTTGTTTGTTTATTAGTTTCATATAACCATGAGCCAGAATAGACTTATTTTGGTCACACAGAGAAAGAGGTCGAATGAGATTGGGGATAGCTTTTGATGTTTTGTGTTAGTTGTTGTAATAATGAGGTAAGAAATGCTTGCGATCAATGCTTGTAATCATGCATGAACTTTTTGAGGAAAGTTAGCTCCATTTCTGTATTCTCTGTGTTAAAGTTGGGTGAAAACATAAAATATCATCTTTTTAAAACTATGAAATCTACTACTACAAAGCAGTAAATATTTTTAACGAAGCCGCAGGATTTGTGTACTGCAATGTGGAGCTGCGTCTCACTGAAAAGAAAGGAGTTGTGGGCTGAGTCGGGGTTTTAAAATACTAATGTAATTCAGAACAATGAGGGCATGTAAAAAATTCAGAATAGAGATAAAGTTATGTCACGCTTTTTTTCCACACAGTCTCTTTTCTGCACTCTCTGTTACTTTAACAAACAGACGCTGTGTGCTTACTTCACATTCACAGTGACCTCTCTTTGTGTCTCCATTTTTTATGGTGTTTGGTCATGTCTTCTCTGTGGTGCTCTCTCCCCCTCCTCCTCCTCCTCCTCCTCCTCCTCCTGCAGTTGTCCTTCAGACTTAAGGCCACAAGCTTTTAAGTAAACAGTATGTAGACATGCCTCTCCTCCTTCCTTTAACCTTGGATGTGCATATTTAAATGAAAAACAACTCAAGTGAGTTTAATTTGGTGGTCACTGACATCACATATGCCCCCCCCATTCATTGATTCTTTATTGTGGATGTCCTAACATTACAGTTTGATATCTCCACAGTCCTCTGAAAAAGACATTTTTCTTTGTAAGGGTATTTTTATGTTTTTTTAATGAGTTTACTATAAACATAAAAGCCAAAAGTCCTCTTAAACCACACTGGGTAAAGTCAACAAGTCTATTTGTTTATTGTTCTTTTCTCTAAACTTGAGTATATGTGGTAAAACTGGTTTCATAATAGAGACTAGAATCTGTGAGATTTATTTAAATTACTTAATGTCTCCATGTGGGGGATATGTACTGTGTGTGTGTGTTTATATGTGTGTGCATGTGGCAGTAGACAGCAGCGGGATGTGGGCGAAGGGATGAGGCTAGGTTTGACCCAAGCATTTGGCACACACAGATTTGAATGCGGAGAATAGGGGTCTAAATATAACCCACCGCTCCTGGCATAAACACTGTCTTCTGCTCTCTGTGGCAGCTTAAGCTTCAGTCTTGTTTCCAAGGCAGCATGGAAAGCTGTTCGCTGCAGCGGTTGTCTACCAGGGGTATTATTAACCTATTTTAACTGAGGTACCTTCTGACGAAGAAAAAACGCCATAGTTAAGCTTTCCCTTTAGCGAGACAAAATTCTGCATTTTCATTGGCTGAATTTACTGGGGGGCTTTTTCAACTTAGGAAAGTAATCTCTTGTTCTTGGGTCTCAGAACTGGAAATAGTTTCCTGACCCAAAAAGATGCCACTAAAGACACACACTTATTTTGTGCCAGAGTTTGTTGTGTTTGAAGTTTAGAGTTTTAGTTATTAATCAAACGCATCTCTAATGTGACCACAACTTGTGTGCAGCTTTCTTCCTGTATTACATTAGGCTCCATGCACATGGACATTTCTAGCAATTTTATTAATGAATACCCAGAAACTTAAAATCTAAGTAATATGATTCGGCCATTACAGGCAAACAGTCCATAGGTTTCCATGCATAAACCAAAAAGGGTTTTCCTTCAATAGTTACTCTTGTATTTTGTCACGACCCGGCTTGTGAGCCATGACAAAAAATGAGAGACAAACGGTTTAAATTGAAGAAATTACGGATTTATTAAATAATCAAACAACTAACCAAAATGTGCAAAAGCTATGGGATGTGATAGCTGGTGGTAGCCTATCAGTGTGTCAGCAGATGGATGAGTGTTCATGAGGACCGCAAAATGTTGTATGGTGTAGAACCTAAATGAAACCAGCCAAAGCCAAAACAACACAACACAATCGATGGGGAGCCCAAAAGCAAAGAGAGGAAGACTGCGGACCAAGACCGGTCTTAGATATTCCCAGTTTGCTCCCAGTTTCATTTAGTGACTCCACCCACCAGGACCTGCAAAACAGCAAGGACAACAACCGCACCAATGGCAGGCCCTGCCCAGACAGGAGGGCTGTCAAAATCAAGGATACTGTTCAAGACAGAACTGAAATTTTCACGACACAATTTTCAGAAAAAAAATCTCAACATAACCACTGTTTACAGTTCCAGTACAGTAGTAAGAGTAAAAAGTTAGACCCTGAAGAAACTTGTCTGAAATAGTTGAATAGGAAAAAAAAAGCTAGTTAAGTTTCATCATGATCATTCAGTGATCATTTAGCGTGCTTTTTATGTGTCCACAGCACTTTGTTGTGTGAAATCAGCCTTTATTTCTGCCACCACATGAATGATTTTTCCACAAATGCCCCCTCATCCAATGTCACGCAGATCAACTTATTGGGGATAAAACCTTCATTACATGCATGAATCATTAGTGTGGAACAACAGGACATAAACGATGTGTAAAGAGGTCCATTTTCTGAGTAAATGTGCATTAAGTCAAATTAATTGCAATGTGCGATTCAATCTGTGTGAAACATTTCAGAGCTGGAAATGGGTCACTTGATGGAGAACTCGTGGGATCAGTTGATATTTGTAAATTAATTTTTAATAACTCCACAGATGTTGTAAATGCTGGTTTTAAGGAGGAGATACACAACTGTACAGCATCCACCAGGCACACACATACACATATACAGACAGCTGCATGCATGTTTCAAAGCACACGCATTCCCACACATGCAGAGTCAGGAGTAAAGATGGGGGCTGGTTGGAGGAGAAAGTACCAAGAGTTGTCAGAAGTAGGTCATTGGATTGGAGCCTGTGAGAAACTGGGCCACAGGTTCACTTTCATCGTGAAGCGTACAGTCAAGCTCCAGCCTCGCTATAAACTGTAGTATGTGTGACTGAAATTAAACATTATCTGCATATGTGTTCATGTTCCAGTGAGAGTATTGTCTTGTGGCACTAAATGAAAAAAAAAAAAAACACTGACTTAAATTTCTGCCTCATTGCAATTTCATGGTTGTATTAAATTTTTCAGGAGGCTTTTTATGTCAAGAGAAGATAGAAGAACGTGAAACGAAGCGTCTCATTTGGTTCAGTAATTTAACCCTCAACAACTGACTGTGTGCACATGGTGGTTTCAGAGATATCTCATTATGTGTTTGTTTTATAGGCAGTGGTTAAACCCTCTCTCCACCCTCTGTTGACTCACACATACAGATGTGAACATCGGCTAAGTCTATTTCTGTTCTTTCATCTCTTGCAGAAAATCCTTCCCATCACAGCACGCCACCCTCGCATCCTTCGCTGCTGTCTATGTTTCTGTGAGTAATAGTTTGAGCCCACACAAACTCTGAACCCTGCTCAACCTTCTACGAAGTGTCTAATGAAACAACATACGTTTGCAAATGAAACATTCAAAAATGACCGATGGACTCAGCCAAGGTTTAATATTCTCCATCGATCTTTACTTAATGCTATTTTTAATTCACACGTACCCAAAATTTCAGCAACAAAGAAAAAAAGCGTTAATATTTAAGACTCCTGAAATTTACGATAAAGAAAAAGGTAAGTGTTTTCATCCCAGAACAAATTCAGACATTTTACCAATACACAGATTTTTTTTCAGTGTGAAATCACAGTAAATTACTGACCAAATTTTGCATGACTTTCACAGTAATATTTACAGATATTTACTGCTAAATAACCTCACAGTAATTTATTGTAACTTCGCAGTCGTAATGTAACAGGACTTCTTTGTGAAATTACAGCTTAATACTGTAGTTTTACAAATGCAAGACCCAAGTTAATTGGTGTGATATTACAGAGGATTTTGATTTCAGTATTTATTGTGAAACAGTAGTTTAATGCTATAAAGTCCAGTGTTACAGTAGTTGTTACAGGTAGTATTTGTGATATCATAGGGGCTTTTGATTACAGTATTTAACTGCAAAATCCTGGTTATTTTTTACAGTGTATTTCAGGGGTTGTGGTGACTCAGACATCATGGGGCACTGCCAATAGGCATGACACAACAAAGAGAGCAGCCGCTTCAGAGAGCATAATTACTGTTTGTAATTCAGATTCCAAATGCGGGAAAAAGGACAGGGGGAAATAATCAGTTAACATGTCATGTGTCCTCAGATGTACTTTAACAGCACCCTGACAGACTCATCCAAGCTGCTCAAGCCCCTGCTGGTCTTCTCCTTCATTATCTGTGCCATCATCTGTGGTTTGACCCGGATTATCCAGTATAAGAACCATGCCATTGATGTCTACCTGGGCTTCCTGCTTGGAGGTGCCATCGCTGTCTACCTGGTGAGGACCAGTCTCAATTTTTTTTCTATGGTTTCTCTGAAAAAAAAGAAAAAGCCAGTATGGAGATGGAGCAGTGGTCCTCCTGTATAAAACGTTGACCAAAAGCAAAGTCATTCATTGTAACTGAGAGCATCTTAGTTTAGTGTGTTTGTTCCTTCATTTCGTTTTTGTTTTATTTTCTTCTCTGTTTCTTTGTTTTTTAGTATGTAAGCATTTGTTTTTGCACCAAGCAGAAAAAATGAATTTAATTCAAGTGGAGTGCTGTGATGGGGGGGGGAAGAGATATAATGTCAAAAAAAGTTGTTTTAAACAACAACAGCCACTGGATTAAACATGAATTTTTTTGTCAAAATTCCATTCAATCATTATCCATTTGGGTCCCAGGTGGACTGGAATCTTTCCCAGCCATAATCAGGTGAAAGTTTGGGTACCCCTTGGACAGGTGGCCAGCCAATCATGGGGCTAACACATAAAATCAAACATACACTTCTCACTGGCACCTAAAGTCAATTCAGAATGACCAATGAGCCAGATCAGGTTCATTTAATGGTTTGGCCAGAATGATCAGATCATTTTTTGAATAAATTAAACATAGATCAATTATATCTATCTGCTTTTTTTGCTAGGGTTTGTATGCAGTGGGAAATTTTCAGCCCAGTGAGGAGGCCAGCGCCAGCCCCCCTCCAATCCTACACCGGCCCCCCTGCTCCTTGCCCCATATAAGCCAGGAAGCTGTACTCCATCACCTGCAAATGAAAGCCAGCCTGGCTGGGGAGTCTGGCATACCTACCACCCACACTGAGGGCCTTTTACATCGAGGCCTTCAGCAGCAAAGACCTGAAGACAGTCTGAAACGTTCCAATGCGGATGTTGAGGTTATCTCTCCACGCAGTCCTCTGAATAAAGATGCTCTGGTGACCTTTAGCCATACCCTCCCGCGGGTCCACACCCCCCAGGCCATGGCAGCATATGAGGAAGCTGCTAGACGTCACGCTGCTACCCTTCATCACGCCTCTATGGACTCTAGCCGCTCGAAGCAGCTTCTATCTCAATGGAAGAGTAAGAACAACCACAAATGCTCCCTGCAGGTCCCAGACTCCTTCTCCTCCTCTATCGACTCATCATCTGGCCATTCCTCGCAACATCCACACCACCATGGAAGTATGGAGCTCAGATCCAGCTCTGAACCATCAGCTATGGGCATGAATGGAGGATTTGATGCACATGCATACATGGCCAAACTGGCCTCAGGAGCGTGTAACACCTTGCCCAGTAATTGCAGTGGTATCACAGGAGGAGCCAGGATATCCATGCAGTCTAGACCTGGATCTTCGCAGCTGGTCCACATTCCAGAGGAGGCTCATGAGAATTACACCAGTGCATCACCAAGGACAGGGGAAGGAGGAGGAAGTGAAGGGATGTCAGCAATGAATAGCACAGTTCAAGCCAACTGGCAAAGGGCAGCGGAGAAGACTACAGCCTGCAGGACTAATGATAATGGGCAAAACACCCAACCGCGAATTATGCAAGTGATTGCTATGTCCAAGCAGCAGGGCCTACTACAGACCCACTCTAAGAGCTTAGATGAAACCAGCATTGGCTGTAGCACAACTGGGAGTGGCCAAGGCTCGGCCCGCTATAGGGCACTAACTGATCAAGACCCCACAAGCACCACAGGGCCCAGTTCTCTTGGTAGCACCACAGGCAGTATTTCAGGGAGTACCGGAGCTATCGTCAGGATAGAGGCCCACCCTGAAACCAACAGGCCAATCATCCAAGCTCCGTCCACGGATGGATCTGGATCATGGAGGTGGCGGTCACTGGATCACGGAACAGGGGGTGGTGGAAATATGGGGACTGGAGCGGGAGGAGGATCAGTAGGAGGCGGTAGTTTGAGGCAGTCCTTTGAGTTAAACGATCTTAACAGAGACTCCGAAAGCTCAGACTCAATACGTGAAGGGTCGATTGACAGGAAGCGTGCCAATCACATTGTTACGACCACTGCCACCGTTAGCACCCCACCTATAGTTACTGTTCACACCCAAAACACGGGCCAGTCAGAGCAAAGGCTCCATCCCCAGGGTCTTTCTACTATAAGAGTCACTCCTGGAGATAGCTGTGTGTCTGGATCTGTTGGTGGTGGCGGAGGAGCAGGAGGAGGCGGAGAATCTGCCTCAGAAACCCATTCAGTCACTTCTAGTCGTGAATCAACACTGCGGAGAAAAGGCAATAATATCATCCTGATTCCTGAAAGAGCTAACAGCCCGGATAATGCGCGAAACATTTTCTACAAGGGGACATCCATAACGCCTGCTTTTAAGGACTAGTTTACTAAATTTCTCCTGAAAAGATGTAGCTAATCATACAAGACAGCTGGATTTTCTGAAAACAAACCCCATATCTGTGACAAGTGACATTATTTGCCACTATTGTATATACAAAAAAACTTACAAAAAAAAAGTTTTATTAAGCATGGATTTTTTTTAACATATTAATGCTAAATCACAACCATTTAAGTGTTGTAGAAAAAACACTGTGTTCTTTTGTGGTCACTCCCAAGAAAACCTCGTGTAACGTCCATTCTGTGCCAGTGCTTCGAGGGCAGGAAAGCCCTTTTTCAATAGATCCATTGGCTTTGAATAAAAATCAGCCCAGAGAGAAAAGAATAGATAAGTAGCACAGTTACTTTCAAACTGTAGCAAAATACAGCAAAATAACTGTAACATAGCTGTGAAACCAGTGTTAACTTCATTGCACTGAGTATATTGTGTTTGTTTGAAAAGGGTGCTACACCAGACAATACTATTTAGTATACAAAATACCGTATAATTTGAATAGATGATGACTTATTTTACAGCGTGAACAACAATGACGTTAATATGTAAAAGATATATCAGAGATATGTTTTGTATTTTGTCTCTTTTCTGTACAGGTACCACACATTCAACAGAATACTGTTTTGAACCATAAGTGTGCTTAGCATTCCTTCTGTAGCTATGAAGTCAAATATGCTGTGACTTGCACTGAAATATGCGTTTACTGTTCCTAGTATACTGTAAACCCTGACCTTATCTTTATATCCTGTTCTTATATTTGGACATCCATTTCAATCACATATCTACAGCACAACAAAAGAAAGCAGAACAATGGAAAACCTTGTGTCTTTAATTCATAAGATAATTTGTACATATCCAAATCTCAGTGCAATACTTGACCTCAAGCTTCCATGATGATTTTTGCAGGTTTTTAACTACTTAAAAAGTTTATCTTTTCGTAGCTTTCAAATTAACAGAAATAATCTCGCTGCTGAGAAATCCAAAGCCAGAAGATATAATGAGCAGAGTCAAAAAAGAATAAAGAGGAAGGTGGTGTGACAAGAGTTCTCAAATGAGCCTCATGTCATGACTGGCAGCATGTGGATTCCTGAGGCTTAGATGGGTACAGAGATTTTCCAAGATGAACAACTGTTGTCGCAAACAAAACACTTAAGTCCCCCTAAAAATGTTCAAATAGTTAAAACTTAAGTCCATTATTAATGTTTCTCTCTTTGGACACAAACAAGCAAATAAACAAATGAAAACACAATTGTACCTATCTATCTCTCTGTGTTTGCAGAAGAAATCATCTGGGATGTGATTTTCTTTTTTCGCATAGCAGTCATCAGCCTTAAAATTGCTCAAAAGGTTGAAGAGACTAAACACAAGCACACCCTTTATGTTTTTTCTTGCCATGGTCTTGTTGTGAACATTGTTGGAAGACTTTTGTTTCACAGATGTTTGATTACAACTCACAGTCAATAGATTCTCCTAATTTGAACTAAGTATATCCCAGACCTTCTTCTGTACCCGACACTCAGAGATAAAACTGGTACAGATTTTTTAAATCTGAGTCCGGCTTCAATTGCTGAAAAACATGTTTTGTTCTAATGAATCTTAATACTTTTTACATGTTTATACATGTAAGTAGCACAGTGTTCATCCTAGTCTGATTAAATGAGATTTGGTGTGAACGATATTTGAAGATTATACATGTAGCATTTTTCCCCAAAAGGATAACAATTGCTTGTAAATTATTTTCACGTTAAGAAATCAGCGGGTAGCAGAGGGGTTTTGCTGAGATTTGCACTCCGTTCATCATCGGCTGTATGCACTGGAAGACCAGCACCTTCCTCCAGTTTTGTGCTGCAATTCTTTTTTTGTGCTAGTAAGCAACCAGCAAATTTTCTATTAAATCGAACCAAGTTGAACAAACAGTGGCCAGTAGATGCTGCCAGCTCACCTAGAAACTATGTGATTTATTTATGGTTATACGTCCCAATTGATTATGCTTTTTCATAACTTTCATTTTGAAACACAGACAGACATACAGGGTAGATACTGTTTGGAAAAAAGCTAAAAGACGACTGTTACTCAGTTGAAGAATTACAAAACCTGTTGTTTACACTGGTTTATACAATATGCATATCATATATTAGTATCTCAGTGGTCAAATGAGCACCCACTGTTTATAAATTATATTTGATACAAGTACTCCTGAATTGACCATAATTGTTCAATGAAATTTTTTGCCAGTGTTACTATGTGAGAAAATTTGCCAAAGCTCGATTTTTTTATTTGAGAAAAAGTATAAATCTTCATGTAACTTTTAGTGTTTGTATAGCAAGCTTGCAATATATTGTACATGATTTATTCTATACCCAAGTAACATTTGCATGGTCACTTTTTGAAGTGCATATCACGAGATTTATATCATAAATGTTTTGAATCTTTACTTTACACTGGTGTTTAACATTATGTTCTCAATTTCAGTGTATTGTAGAGAGAGTTTAAGACAATCTTTTCTTTATCTGTTTACTGTTGCCTATTTATGTCATAACCACAGGCTGGCTTTCTTTTAAATGATTCTGCCATTCACCAAGTCAAAATGTGTATATAACCCACCCGAGTAAAAACAATAGCCGAGGTTCTGACACAAGTACCGAGTAGATAGAGTATTTTAATACAGTCTTTGTTGTTTTCGAGCTGTTAAGCACTGGTTGCTTCAGTGCTTCACACAAGTTGCCTGATTTGGTTTTTACTCACACCTCAGAATATTTTTTTGTATCAGCGATAGTTACAAAACCTAGGTAAAGTTTTAATACTTTAAAGACTAGATGTGAGATTGAGGGCATTTGTTATAGTTAGAGGTTTTGAAACACAGTTCAGTCAGGATTAAATTTAGGCATAAGTTCATTGAGTTTGTCAGAGTTGACTTCAGACAAGCCTGATAGTTGTATCCTGCAGTGTTTTATGAGAATGGCTTTAGTGACTCGATCTTTCGTGTGAAAATTTCTAATGATTTTTTTTTTTCTTCTGTGTCATACTGTATACTTAAAAGAGCACTTAAAGTAACAGTCATAAACCAATGAGTAAAGCATAGCTGAGTAGGAGTTCCTTCAGTGGCACTAAACTGTGTATGTTTCTAATGAATTTGTTGTTCTCCCATGAAAAGACCAAAACCAAAAATGTGTCAGTACTGTCCATATCCCCCACTCTTTCTGTGGTTCTCAATGTTTTAACTACAAGACATTAACCTTTGAATACCAGCTCAAAAATAAACCATTCTGATTCACAGAGATGTAAATCAGGCAGCAGGACAGGGTGTTTGTGATTGAGTAGAAAGATGAAGATCTGCTCTTGGTAACCAGGAAACGTGTCACCCACACACAAGCGCTGGAGCGTATTCGTTCAGCGCTGTCTATGACTTAATTGATTACAGAAGCACCGAAGAGATCCCAGCTGCCAACCACGACTAAACAGTCCTCCCTTGCTTCTCAAGAACATTTCATACCAGCCTCTTGTTGCAGACATATCAACAACAACAACAACAAAAAAGACTGCCATTTTTTTATGTGATATAAAAGTATGTGAAATCAGTCTGTTTGACAAAAGCTGGACTTGTGTGATTGTGCAAAATACAATACACTCTTAGATCGAAGCCTTAACATTGTCTAATCTCCCTTTATGGTGACACATAAAAATACCCCCAGAGTATGATATATATTATATATACATATATATAGATTGGATATAAAGAAAAAACGATATGTCAAGAATATTTGTATGACATTTTTTCAAACTATTTGTCTTATATAAGTCTGTCCCAAAGGCCTGTGAAATCAAAGTGTTATGTGACACATGAGTAGATATGTAGATCCAATGGGTAGAACTGTGAATGGATGCTCTCTGCATGTGTAGCCTCTTGTGTTGTCTTTGGATGAATCATTAATGTTTTCTTATACTGTGATCAGCTGTATGAATTCTATGCAGCAGGAAAAAAAAAACATGTAAAAATGGATTTACTATCAATTGAGTTCAAAAAGAATAAATGGTTAATACTTTTCTTTATGTGCAACGGTCAACAAAGCAAAGTAATGATGGTTTAAAGAGAGTTGAAAGTAGCAATCACACTGAGAGTTCACAGCACGTTGATCAGACTAGATGGCAAATTGTGAATCGTTGAAATGGTCAGAATAAATGTTTGCTATTGAAATCAAGCAGCAGATGTCCTCCAATTCATGTGGTTATATTTCTCAAAGTTAATGTTGACGATAAGGTTTCTTTGTCCTGTTTGCCATTTAAATCTAAGGATCTATATGTTAAACTTTCAGTCCTTATAAGATGAAACATTCAGCCCAAGAAAAAGGTGAAAACTAAAGGAGGAAGCTGATGTGTTCCAACCAAGTTCTTTAAAATGCTCATTTTAGTACTCTTGTTTTCATACACATATATACATGTATGAGAAAGGTGTTATTTGAATGAGTGAAATTGAATATACATTATTGTTGTTTATTTTTCCTTTTTTTAGGGTTTGATGTGTTCTAATGAAATTGATTGTCAAATGCATTTCTGACTTAATCATATTCTGCGTATAAAACAGAACATCAGGATTGCCATGATGTTTGCCATAATCTCCCACAATGCAAAATGGGCCTAATGACAGCTTTAAAAATAAGAAATTCATATAGCAATGTGCTGCAAATAACACTAGTATTGTACGTTTTCATGAGGTCATATTCTGCTCCATCAAGCTTTTATATAACTTCACAACTTTTAGTTTTTATTTGCCTGCTGTAACACCAGGCAGCCTCCCTCTGTTGCTGCTGCCACTGACCTTGGCTGTTACAGACCACATGCCAGGGACAGTGCAGAAAAACTGTCTGCCAATTCTGCCTCTAACATGTGTCAGCGATGAAAAGCTTATCACACTCTTCTGCATTAAGAATTGCTGCTCTCTGCTGGACAGCCACACACCTTTTGATTTCTGTGATAAGATTTGACTTCAGCGTGGCATGAGAAGGTATACAAGAAATCATTACTAACATAATAATAATGGGTTTGAATAAAGTGTATTTAATTCGAATTTGAAGAGGATAAAAACATAGTTTTAGTTGAAGAGAATTAGGATTATATTCATAAATTGAAATGTCAAACTGTGCAGTCAACTGTGTGCAGGAAGCTTAATCTCCCTTTATTTAGGTGCAGTGCCTAAATTAATCTATTCATGTCCCCCACTGCAAAACTTGACAGAGCAAAACTCACTGCCTAGTTTTTACCCCAGATGTGTCCTCAGGATGACAGCTTATTAGTACTACATTCATTGTAATACTTACTTTTAAAGGTTTCATGTATTTTATAATTAAATATTTCACAGACCATGATGACAGGGTACAGAGCACAAACAGAACATAAAATACAGATAATGTAATTATAGCACACGGCATGGCTGTGGGTGAACAAATATCACTCAAATAATGGAAATGACCTTAGGCCTGTGTGATTACAATAACAACAGTAATCTAAAAATAGATCGCCAATTTAAGTGACTAATAATAAAGGTACATTTCTCCTTAGGTCAACAAAACATTGTCTTCATCACCCGGTCAATCTGCAGAGGTTACACATCCTCTGGTTTCTGTCAGTTCCTTTATATCTCCCAGTGACCTCTGGGATCCTGTTTTTTTACTCCAAGGTTGTAGATAGCTTGTCTATATTTTATGTTTACACATTAAAAAATACTGTTACATTTCAAATCTATATGTAAATCCTATGAAGTCATGTTTCTCTATTCGCTTTACCTATTTTGCATGAACTGATCTTTCTGTCTCTGTTAATGTTGTTACACTGTTGTGAGATCCAGCGGTAAGACAAACCACAGCCCTCCAATATCTGCTTAACCTTTAAAACCCATAAAGACTCACACAGTATATGAACCTGTGTTACACAGGCTGAGCAGGTAGTTGTCTGGACGAGTTTCGTTGCCTGCCTTTTACAGTCCTCAGTTTGACACTCATGTGTGAAAATAATTATCATTTGTTATCAATATTATTATTACAGCTGTGTGTTTAAGTGGGGCTTAGGGTTTACAAGGAGTGTAATGGTGAATATTTCAAACTAACTATTTCTTTCTCCCAATGCTGGCAGAGTCATCTAATAGTATCTATACCTGCGAGGTTAACTTAAATATGATGCTAACGCCAGCACAGCTAACACTGGTTAGATACCGCTCTGATTTCTGATACCTTGTTTCTTCTCCTTCCGACTGTTTGTTTTTACATTTTGTTCTGATTCAGAGAACATTATGGTCAAAAAACAATTTGTTTGAATAATGCTAGGAAACAATTCTAAGTGTGATACTGATTTTGTAGTGCCGTAAATAATGGAAAACCTGATATATTCACTAAAAAAGTGCCAAACAACATGTTTAATTGCCATCAATTTTTATATATTTACTTATTCCATTGAATATTACTAAACTGCGTTTCTACTTTAACACATGGTTTTGAAATACATCTAGCTAAAGTGTTGCAAGTCCGATTGTAGTACCACTTTCAGTCTTACAGTCATGTCAAGTTTACACTGAATAATTCAAATATCTATAATCCATTATTTAAAAAAGCGCTAGAAATGCTAGGTTGTATCATGTAAAAGGATGAGGAACCTGACTAATTATTTAAAGGTGAATTGCACTGTGTCCTACATTATGCCTGCAGAGATTTGTTTCTGCTATAACAAGGGAAAAGACAGAGAAATGCACTTGAGTTTTTTTTTTCTTTTATATTTGGTCTTATCAGTAGAGGATGTTTTTGAATGCTGATATTTTGTTGAAATTTGGCTGGTTCGAGTCATAAGTAATTTTAACCCCCAGATTCAGATATTTACCAAAAGATACATCCTGTACTGACCTTTCAATAATGTATGTGTAATTACAAGTATCATTGTTATGATGTAAAATGATTATAATGATCATGAAAAGAATAAGATAGCACAGCACACAAAAGAAAAAGACACTGATAACTTTGTTGAAAGTGGTATTTTTATCAAATCCAGCAATACGTTATCTTCATAATTCGATTAAATTAGCTTATTTTTCATGTGCGTCATTATTATTTAATATTTTGTTTCTGTTTTTTTTTTTTAAATAATTTATTTCATGTTTGAATCGAGTTGAAGCAATTAGTTTCTAACGCCTTGAACATTTTTCACGGTAAGATAGTTCGGTGACCTTCTGGTTGCAGTCATCAGGCCAGACCACTCAAATCACATTGATTGGTCATTTCAGCGTTCAGCCACACAGAAACTGACTTGTAACAACTGCTGTGACATGAACTGTGTGATAATTGGCAAGTATGCTTCAAAGCAGCCTAACTCTCTGGCAATTAAAAGTTATGCTTTAATTTTTGTCATGTAAGACGAGTAACATGTTTGTGCTCAACTGGATCAATCAAATGCTGTGATTTAATGGCGATTACTTACTCAGACTTAGATTTAGTTCCTCCCGTTCCTATTGGAACATTGGGCGATGAGTCCCCTCCATTTGCTCCGCTCCCTAGCGACCCTTCTTGGTCTATGCCAGCTGACTCCCATCTCGCTCAGGTCTTCCTTGGCTGTTTGTCTTCAAGGGCGATATCTTGTATCTAATTCGACAAGTTTATTCAATTTCTATTCAAGTAAATGATCGTTACCCGTGTTTGGAAGCCCAACACATGGCAAGGCATCAGTTTCGCCCCCTTACAGTTTTAAAGAATTTTCTAACTTTACTGAATCCGGTTAAGTGCCTTACATTAATTTCACACCCACTGAAGCAAGAGTCAGATAAGCTGTATGTGTAGGAATCTATAAAGTTATATTTGCTTTAAGCCTAATAACATCCTCCTACACTGTTTGCAATGCCTTAGAGGCGGACTCTTCAAGCCTGCTCAATGCAGTTGCAGCTTTATGCAACTCTGTATGAAGAACAAAAACAGCATCACGATCTTAAAGAGCCACATGGATTGTGCGTCATTGGATGACGCCACTAAAAATGTGGGTACAGTCCCCACTTCAGCTGTCTTAAGAGGCTATTTGGTCTATTTTACTCTTTTTTTTTAACCCCCACAGGTTTACAAGGCCATCTTGTTGTCATCCTCCTCAATTTGATCTTCCCAATAGTGACGGTTATCAAAGTGAGGCCTGAAACAGCAGCATCTCCTCTGAGAAGGAGAAGGAAGAGGAGGAAGAAAGCCTCAAACTGTGGTTCATATATAGCTTACACCAAAGGATAATACAGTGTCTTAAAACAAATAGTCTCTTTTTTCTGTTCTTTTTATAATTCACTGTACTAATTAGCTTGTCTTCCCCTCTGTAGTCATCTCACACTTTCTGCCTCCAGGTTTCCATAGCAACATGGTTCTTGTCTCCGTGTAAATTGTCTCCCAAATAAAGACCCAAAAGCTGCAGGCACAGAGATGTAATGAGTCTCAGTTCAACCAACTATAAATGCGTCATTATTGCAGAAGGAGGCAGTCTCTGCCTTTCAATAAATAAAAGAGTGATGCCGGGTTATTTTATGTAACTAAAATTTAAGCTTTAAAACCACAACCCTTTTTGCAATTATTTGACAGTAAATTAAAATGAAATGATCGGCTCATCACAATGGTATTAAGAGTATCAAAAGAAAACCATATTTCATTTTCTAAAAGATATCAGATTGTGCGCATGTCGTATTAAGAATGAATAGAGTAGAAATGTGCTTTCTCTCCTCTCTTGTGGGTTTAACAGTGCAGCTGCTGGCCTTGTCCTACTTTCTTTGACTGAAATGTTCAAAGGCAGAGAATGGAAAAGGGAGAAAAATGAAAGTCGCTGAAATCATTACAACTTTTCTTTCTTATCGTCCCTCTTTCTTAAATACAACCCCAATCCTTCAATCACCCATGTCTGGCATTAAAAGGTTTCATTAACCTTCCAAAATTGCCATTTTATGCATTTAAACTCTAAATGCTGCAATATTAGTAAAAAACAAAGTCAGAAACATGTTAGGAAATATTGTAAATGTGTATTTTGGGGAAGCAGAATGCAGTTACTAAATGATCTGTATGAATTAAAGATAATACTTTTACCATGGATAGCTTCAAAAATTCTGAGTAATGTGGGGAAGACAGTTTTTACTGCTACCCTGGATTTGAAGTTGTAATTTTGTAAAGCTTGACGCCAATGTATAGATAAATGACTGGCATGACAATGTTCTATTTTCTTCTGAACTACTATAATGAAATGGTAAACATTTCTCTATTCTTCAATGTATTATGATGTCTTAACCATTCTGCGTGTCCTGGTACGAGATACATTATCTCAATGACCCTGGATTTTGGGAATAT